ATATATATATATATATATATATATATATATATATATATATATATATATATATATATATATATATATATATATATATATATATATATATATGTACCTAAAACTAACTTTTATATTATATTAGTTTATATATTATACCTACACATGCACACATATATACACATACATACACATATACACATATACATACATATACACATATATACATATACAAAATTATTTTAGTCTACAATAAGTAAATTAATTGTAGACAAAAACATAGAAGTTGTTAGTCCCGTTGCACCTACCTCCCTCAAAAGAGGGTGAGGGTGAAATACTATTGTAATTGGCGATATCCAGATAAAATCTGTTTATCTACATGCAACACAAACTTGTCAGCCTTAGATAAAAAATAGAAAGAATGCAGTTAAAAACATGTAACGGTGATTAATCTCATAATTTTTCACCGGACAGTGAAAATGTGTTTCAAAATGTATTGGACGGTGCCATTCTATTGGGTGATGGACATAGACCACTCCAATACTAAACAGGTCCATTGAATTGGACATAGTTTAAACAATTATTGAAGAAAACAAGTGCAAGACTTGACAGATCAATGTGAAACTTATGGACATAGTACATTTGCATATTGTCAACGATAAAATGCATTTAAGTCAAAAAACTCAAAAATGGACATAAAACACTCCAATTCTCAGCGGACGAGTTAAGTTAAACCCAAGCATTAACTTAAATCTTAATAAATTTAAATATATTTTTTAAATCAAAGCTAAATTATATATTTTAAAAATTTAAATTAAATTATATATAATTTTTATCAGAATAAAATTATATATTTTTATTAAAATAGTTTTAAATTAAATCATATATTTTTTTCTTAGAATTAAATTACATTTTTATGATCTTTGCTTTAAGCTTAAAAAATCAATAATAAGAATAAAATAAAAAAATAAAAAAAAACTTTTAATTTTATTTGAGTTTGGTTCATTAGTAAATAGCGCTTATATTAAACATAATTATCATTTAAACTTTTGTAACAAATATTTTTACATAAACATCATTCAAAAGTTAATGTGATTTTTTTTTAATTGATTACTTCTTCTTACCGCTTATAGAATTATTTAAAAGTTAAAAAATGATAAAAAGTCACTTAATCAAAATCGCTTACTGCTTACCTAAAATCACTTGGCATACGAAAACCTCTACATGTAATGCTTTAAAACAAAGCCTGTATATTTATATATATATGTAATATATAAATTATTTATATATCAATCTTCTCTGTTTGAAATTTACCGCAATTACCGCCAGAAAAAAGATTTAATGCAATTTAAAAACGCGCTTGAAATTTTTGGCGAGCACTTAAAAAAGCGCTAGCCGCAGTATTGGCAGGCGTGTGGCTGAGCACAAAACTGCAAGAGCGCGAAAGCGCTTGTCAAATGAAGAAGAATGATATATGTATATCTCTCTCTCTCTCTCTCTTTCTATATATATATATATATATATATATATATATATATATATATATATATATATATATATATATATATATATATATATATATATATATATATATATATGTATATATATATATATATATATATATATATATATATATATATATATATATATATATATATATATATATATATGTATATATATATATATATATAACCCAGCTAAAACAAAACTCAACAAACTAAAATGCTTAGTTTATTTAAATCGTGTTTTTAATTACATTCAGAATAATTTTTTATCTTAATTTTAAGAACATTAGTAAATATTAATAAACAAAGAACAATTTACTTTTAATAATTGTGTAAAATATACTCACACTTGGTTTAAAATATAGTGTTTTTTTTACTAATTTAAAAATATTAGTTTCTATGTATATGTTAACAAGTAAATAATTACGCATTAAAAAACTTTTCATTCTTTGTTTTAACATTTGATCCTTTTTTTTTCTTTTAATTTGTTTCAAAAGATTAACATTTATCATAAAAAATACATAATCCTATAAATAAAAAACAGTTTAATAATATTTATTATAAAAGTTTGTTAGAAGTGTTTTGCTACTTCATTAAAAAGTGTTTTGATAATATAAAAACATTAAAGATCAAACTTATTTAGGCTTTCTTCTGTCTTTTTTTTTTCAACGAAATTTTGATTATCTTTATAAATGTATTCATATTGCTTTTGTATAATAATTTTCTATTCACGTTTCATTTTTCTATTCACATTGTGTCTCCCCAGTTCCTAGTTAAAATAGTTTCCTAGTTAAAATAGTAAACATTCCATTCTAGAAATTAACATTAATTAGGGTAGTCCTTTAATTCTATTTTTTTCAGAAAAGTCTGCTTTTACTCATTAAAAGCGTTTTATATAATCAAATAACTTATAATAAAAAATAAGTGTTCTATATAATAAAAATATTTCATGGGGTGCCCCAAGAAACTTAAACATTTAATGGGTCCCTAATATGTAAGTAATTTTTTTATTATAAAACTTTTCATATAAAACTTTCAATAATAATAATAATAATAATAATAATAATAATAATTTTATAAAAAATATAATGAAAAAATTTTGTTTATCAAAAAACCCCATAAAAATTGACATTTTTTGCTTTTAGGTGGTTTTATGCACATAAAAAATCCAAAATGATTGATATATTTGAAGTTTTTATATAATTTTGCTTCATTTGAAAAACTTTTTTTCTGAAAATACTAGGGACCTATTAAATGTTCAAGGGTCTTGATACATCCCTCGAAATATTTCTAGAAATTTTTGTTAAGTTGTTAAGTGCATAAATTTATACTTTTCCTGTTTTCATTATATTTTTTAAACATATTTAAGTTGTTTTTTTTGAAAGATTTTAGATGTTTTAGTATTTGTTTTTGAAATAAAAACTGTTTGCTTGTTTGCAATTGAGTTTCTTATCTTCTCTAGTGGTTTTTTTGCTTATCTACTTTCAATTTTTTTACTAAACTACCTGTGGTGTTTTATTTTAAATGTTTTTATTGCGCTTATATCTCATACTGTTATTTTATTTTTTTTTACCTTTTTTTTTTTTACTATATTTTCAATAATATACTTAACATTTTTATCTTTATTACTTTTTATTGGTGATCACTGTTTATTTCAACCTTTAAAATTTGTTGCATTCGTTTATAAAAAGTTACTGTGCATAAAACATTCAAATATCAATAAGGTTTTGTTAACTTCCTAATTTTACAAGAAGCTGTTTTTGACTGGGTTTAATTTCAACAAAAATTAGTCATTTTTATAATAAATGAGAAAAATATTAAAAATAGAAAACTCTTATTGGATGGCAGTTAAAAGGACAAGAAACCATTTTCCATTACTATACACTGTAGAAAATTTTTGGTGCATTTTAAAAAGTCCTTGCCGTCTAAAAAATGTCATCAAGCAAAAATATTGTTTACTAACATGCAAAAACTCAATTACTCTATATATATCTTTTATATAGTTAAATTAGGCATGGGGCGAATTAAATGATTGCGAATTGAAAATTTCGTAAAAGTTTCTGTTCTTCAAATTTTGTTTTTCTTTTTGCGCGTTTTTTTCGGACCATTCATAACAGTTTTACAAAGAAACTAAAAATTTAAAGACCAGAATTTTTTACAGAATTTTCAATTTGCGATCACTTAATTTGCCCCTTGTTAGGGTATAAATGTCCAACTTAAAATAGTAACCAAAAATACACTTACTCAATATATACTTATTCCAGGCTTGGACAGGAATGGCATGCGATCGAGCACTAATGCTGACCACGCAAATGATTTTATTTTTTGACAACTTGACCTTGATGGTTTAAATGTTTTGATGATTTAAACAATTTAGAAATGTAAAAACGCTAAGCAAACTTAAACTAGGAAAAAAGTTAAAAAAAGAAACTAACGAAAAAATAATTCCTAACGAAAAAAGAAATGAATAAAAATTCTTTACGAAAAAGAAATTTTATAAACATTAGCATAAAAATAAAATATAAAAGCTTAAATTCGAAGCAAAACCTTTTATTACGTTCTTAATTACGTTTGAAATTAATCTTTTTAAACGTTTTATTAAAGTTACCCAAAACACTTTTAAATTAAGTTAGAAATTGCTACTAATGAGTGTTTAATAAATGAACAAATTTTATCAAATTTATTAAAAAGTGTTGTATATAATATTTTAAAATTGTATAAACATTTTTTCAAAAAAAAATTGCAAAAAAACAAAAAATTGTTTAAAAAAATAATTTTGTCTTTTTAAAATAGTAATTTTTAGTAATTTTATGCTCTAATTAATAAGTCTAGTTAAAAAAAGGTTTTTCAACTTTTTAATACGTATAAATAGGAGAACAATAAATAAATAAAATGCGCCTGCGATTTAAATAAAATAAAATGCCAACAAGCAATTTAATTTAATTATAGTTTGAGCATTACAACTTTATTAATAAGCGTTTCACTTAACAAATTTAAAAATTATTATAAAAGATTTAAATTCATTCATTCCTATCGTAATTGAAAAAATAAATAAATAGTTTTTTAAAAAATAAGATGTTTGTTTAAGGTTTTAAAAAATCACAAGTTCAAATTTAAAAATTAATCGTATGAGTATTACAAAATGCTTCAAAACTTTTCCATTAATCAACAAAATACATGCTTATATAAGTAAATAAAATTATTTTATACTTTTGTATGATTCACATAAAATGTGTAAAAGCCGTGGTCAACTTGTAAAGAAAAAAATATAATAGCGTGGTCAGTTACAGAGTGCGATCGCACGCCATTCCTGTCCAAGCCTGTTATTCTAGTTTTTTACATGAGATTTTTAATGAATAATAATGAGATTTTTGATAAATAATAAAATGATAACATACTTTTAAAAGTTTTTAATATTTTTATTTTTTATTTCGATGTTAGAATCTTAACAATTATTTAGTTAGTAAAGTGTTTTTTATTGTTTTCAATTCATTACAATTTTTTTTATTTTTATTTTAGAGGATAGAATTCAAGATATTCTTAGTGTTTTTGGTCTACCTGTTAGTTCTTTTTCAAATGCTGGTAAACAAAATATCAAGACACTAGCTGATCTAGCAGCCATTTTGAATTTAAAAGATACTTCAAAAACAAAGTATTTACTTGTTTATTGAACATTTCTTAAACTAAGTTTTTATAACTAATCATTTTACGAAGTAAAATTTTTTCACTTTTTGTAAATTTTCACATTTTTTTTATAAAATAATAAATATTTTTTAAAAAGTAACATATCCCAGCGGGTATTTGTTTTTAAAAGTTATGTTTTAAATGTATTTTAAATGTCTTTTAAACAGCTTCTAAAAATTCTTCCGTAAAGGGCATTTAAAAGACATTTAGAATGTAATTTTTAAAAACAAACACCCATAGGGATAAAGTAAAAACAAAAATGACCATAACTTATGTTAAAGTAATTGTGCAGCTAATTTTATATCACTAGCAAAAAGCAACCCGTAATAACCGACCAAAACCCGTAATACAGGTTTTGGTCGGTCTGTTACATAATTAATATATAGTGGCTGTTTTCCACAATTTAATGTTGCAAAACCTTAACTAATACCCTTTTAGAAAATCGCCTTCAGCTTAAAAAAATTAATCCATCTGTAAAATTAACATAAAAATTATGAGGAGGTAAAATAATTTACCAACTACTACTTAACATTTACAATTACTACTTAACATTATTTAAGTAATTTACAAATGGCATAGGTCATAACAGTGTAAGGCAGAACCATTTTCATCGACCTTCCTAAGTTTAACACAATACGTTTTTAGTTACTAACACAAAATAATAACACTTGGTCATGCTTTAAATTGACGAAAGTGTCAACTAAATCCTTGTAATAATTTTTATAACACGAACCATTAAGATTAAAATGAAGTTAAAAAGAATAAATTATATTATATGGGAGTTATCAATTTTTGGGTATCCCCTTAATTAATTTTTTTTTAGAAAATAAAATTGTTAACTTAAAAATGTTAAATGCACACATTTAAATAAATTTATTAAAAATAACAAAGTTTATTATAAATAACTAAGCAACTGAGTACAAATTCGTTTCAAACAAAAAAAATTTAATTTACGATCAAACATGGGTATAATAAATTTGAAAAAATATGTAAACTTAATGAATTAATGCATCATATGACAAACCTAAAATAAAAATTATAACAGATAAGTAGACATAAAAAATTTGTAAACCAAGCTGACTTGACTCGGGTCTTGTTAAGTCTGTTCAACACAGACCATTTCTATATTATTTGTTTGGGCTTTTTATTTCATTAACTTTTAGTAAATGGTAATTTGCCACCATTTACTAAAAATTCCTTTTATAACTTGAAATTTAATTTTCTTAAATATTTTGACTCTAATAAAGAGGTTCCTCCTCTTTTTTTGCTTAAATGGTGACCAGGTGAATAAAATAAAAAAATAAAATGTAAAACAATGATCTACATATATAAGAATGTTTTCTTTCTTTCCTCAAAAGTGTTACAAATACAGACTAAGCTAACTAATTAGTTAAACACATAAATAAAACTTGAGTAACTCGATATTAACGTGCAAAACTACAATAATTTCCATGTTTTTAAAGGTTTTTCGTTATGACCCCCCATTTACAAAGATCCGCTTAAAATACGTACAACAAATTATTAGGCATAAAATAGATAAAATATAAAATTAACTAACAGAAATATATTTATATCTTTTTAACTAACAAAAGTTTACAATAAAAAGAAATCAGGTTTTTTTATTTTATAAATCTTATAAATGCGTCATAACGTAATTCTAAAAAAAAAAGTAATGAAATTATGATATCATTATTACAAAGAAAAAAAAAAAAAAACCACTACGCAATTACCGAAAATCAATTTACCTATTTATAGTAACCTATTTTGAAATTGCAGTTAAAGATTTATTGAAAATGTAACTATAAAATCTGTTTCGAAGTACAAAAGCATTAACAATACTAAAAAAAAAATCAAACTAAGATACAAATAGTTGTCTTGGCTTTTATAGTTTAAACATATATACAACTATAAACAAATATGACTTTATGTAACACATATAGACACATTTTACAACTATTGAATGATAGATATATTTATCAAAAACTATGAAAAAAATAAATAATGATAAATAAAGTTATACATACAAAATGTGCTCACAACTTTTAACAGTAAATTTTCAAAATGAAAATCTTAAGACTATAAATTAAGAACATTAAAAAATATAACAATATTTATGTTACATTTTTTTACCTACTATACCTTGAATAAGATGTTTATCAATTTTGAAAAACAAACTATTAAATGCTCTAGTTCTTGAAAATGCAACATATAGTTGACCATGAGAGAAACACGGTTTTTGAGATATTTCTTTTGTCTATATTTTTAATTTTGCGTTATGTAATCCATAGACGATCCCTTAAAGAAAATACTTGAATCTAAAAAGATTTTATTCATTATAATATTTGAACAACCAAGGGACAATTTAAAGAATTATATCTTTAAATAGCAAATTATTTCATCTATTCTCTCTCTATACTAATTCTTATTTAAGTCTCATCTAAGAGAGAGAGGAAGTGTTTTAAAAACAGCATGTTAGAAAAAGTAAAAAAGTAATGCAATAAATAACAGTAACTGGTTTTATTATGCTACCAATAAACAAAATTATTTTTACCTTAACTAAAAGTTAATTTCCAGCATTTCTTAATTAAGTTCCAGCTTCTCTTTAACTGTTGAGAAATGATTAATATTGTAAATTTCACATCATATTAAATTTACAAAATTAAAACCATGTTTCAACAGTAAGCAAAATAATCAAGTGATGACAAAGACAACTAAAAAAAAATGAACACAATTATGTTTAAGATTACAAAAAAAAAAAATTAAAATCATTAAAAATTGAAACTGTTATTATTTGTTACTATAAATAGTAAAATTCGTACTTTAAAATTAAAATATTAAAAATACTAAAATTTATACTTTAAAATTCATATTTTAAAGTGTCTAATGTAAAATCAATTAATAGACATCAACACCGCTTGACACTGAATTCTGGCAAAAAAGTTTTCTGTTCGTCAAGCAAAATTTCTTATATTTCAACGACAATTAATTTTATCACGCCTAGATCTATTTCTTTCATATGACAACAATTTCAAGTCACCTATAGCCATTTACACTAATAACTTTTTCGAGCCTAATATTATACATCTGTTATCATTAATTATATTACCAGTGATTATACTACTATTACAACTGAATAAATAAACGTTTTATATTTTTACAACTGAAAATATAAAACAAAATTTTTGACATTATTTTAATTTAGCAAAGAATTTAGACTACAATGCAAAGTTATTTTTACCTTCAGGCAGAATCTTAATGCACAAAAGTAATAAATGCAGAATCTTGTATAAAAAATGAAGCAATGTCAGTCTAAAGTAATATATATATATATATATATATATATATATATATATATATATATATATATATATATATATATATATGTATATATATATATATATATATATATATATATATATATATATATATATATATATATACATATATATATATATATGTATATATATTTAAATTTTTTCTATTCTTTTTAATTTTTTCTATGAGATAATATTTATATAGATTTAAAGAAATATAAATTATTCTGATATATAGCCACATTTATATATATAAACTTACCTGTCAAAAATTACTGTCAGTTTTCCATGTTAAATACATAAAATATATAACAAAACATTAAACTTACTCAAATCAGTAACAGTTCGACTGTCTAAATATTTTTGTTATTAACCCTTCTATTTAAAAAAAGAAACAAATGATTTGAAGTGACTAAAAAGCACTTCAGCTCTTTCCAATTGCACTAAAAAATAAAATAAATCTTGCTTTGCTAAGTTGCCTAGTTCTTAAGAATCTGAAAACAAATAAGTAAAAAACCAAGAACAAACAAACATTTTTTTATTAAAACTACTCTATTTAAACAAATTAAATTAAACAGAGAACAACATTAATTCTCTTCGAAAGCTGAAAAACTTTTCAGCTCAAATTTGATTGCAGACCTTGCTTATAAAACCACTTAAATAAGAAAAGCATCAAAAAAGCCAAGAAGCTACTTAAAAATGGTATATGTAACATTGAACTTTGAATGTTGACTGGAGTAGATATATATATATTTTTAAAAAATTCAAAATGATTTGTTCTTCTATAGCAAATAAAACCACTATAAATCTGAAGTTAAAAATGTAAAAAATAAGTAAATACAAAGAAAAACATCATATATGAATTGAAAATCAATGTACCTGGTAGAGATAAGCTGTTGTGATACCTGAGTAGTAGTTGCTAAATATTGTTTTTTCATGATAAACAAAATGTATTTATAGCGAAATGGTCTTGAATGAATTTTAGTAAATAAATAAAAGCAGTGAGTTCTAGTAATGAAACTACCTATTAATCATTTTTAACCGCTGACACCAACGTAAAGATAAGCCAAAGGTAACAACATTACGCGAAAAATTATTAAAGGTAATGCAATGTGTTTTCAGAATAGTTATATTAAAGGCTAGGCAACACTTAGATCTAAAGCAGTAACATCGCTTGACTGGTAAGGTTGATAAATCTTGCTCTACACGTTTGCCAAGTCACTCCACTTTGAAATCATGGAAACAACATTATATAAACATATATACTAATTATAAAACACAATATATTTTTTTAATGTTACTTAGCATATAAAAACACCCCATTTAACAATCATATAAACATTAGATAAAATACATTTCATACTATTATAAAAACACATTTAAATAAACAACTATTTAACATATATCACCTCATTTAACAATCATATACACATTAGATAAAATACATTTCATACCATTATAAAAACACATTTATATAAACAACTATATAACATATATCACCAAATACACGTTTTTATCAAAAACTTTTTTAACTTCGAGCGTAATATAAACATATATGCAAACTTTTAACAACTATAAAACAATATTTATTAGCTTCAATTATTTTTAATGTAACAAAGAATGCACATACAATGCACAAAATTGTTAATAAAAA